AAGAGAGAGAGAGAGAGAGAGAGAGAGGAGGGGGAGTACGTTAGTACATTCATTTATTTGAGTAAAGAGAAGCATATAGACATGAAATCTGTGACTTACTGCTGCTTAAAAAAAGGCGAAAGCAGACAGAAGCCAAAAAAAAAGAAGAGAAAAAAAGTAAAACCTTGTAGTGGCACCCCAAATCCCCTTTGGTCTAATCTACTCTCACAGCACACCCAGCGAACCGACGAAAACAATGACCTTAAGACCCTGAACGAGTTCAAAGTTCAAACAAAACCAACTTCCACAATATTGACTCAGTTCTCTAAAGTCCTCATGTTTCGACTTCACATTCTGAACTCCACGAACTCGAAAGTTGTTTGTTTTTGTCTTTAAAGGTGAATAAGATTAGAATTAAATTAGCCGTGAGGTTACAAGCAACTGAATACTCTTACTATACAAGATCACTTTTCGAAACACAAGGGGACAATCCCGAAAAATGCTGTTCTGAGAAAATCGAAGGTAAAGTTTTTGGACCCTTCTTCAGTCAAGTAGAGTTTTCTCTATAACGATACAAATATACACACAAATGAAACCAAACTGTTCCTATAGGTAGGGCAATGCCCACTTCTGGTGTAGGTCAGAATTTCCGGAAACCCCCGAAATCTGGGTTAGCCCGCGTGTGTTTAAAAGTGTTAAAAGCGACCAAATTAAATGTCCTTTAAACGTGTATTGTCCATGTCGTACATCATAGGTTGTTCTTTGTTTTGTTTTTGTTTTGTTTTTTGTTTTTGTTTTTGTTTTTGCTTTGTTTTTGTTTTTCTTAGGAGGGGGCGCGCTCTTTGCACTTTCTCTCCTATCAAATACATGTCTTCTTTATCTCTTCTCTTCGTTTTTGTGTTGTTGTTTTTGTTACTTTCTTTTAACACCCCTAATCTTCGGTACTTTTATGACCTTATTGCGTTACAAGTGCCTCAAAACTCTTACTCAAACAAAACAAAACAAAAATAGCGTACATCATATCTACACAACCAATCGGAGAGCCGTAATGTGTTGGAAGTTCTGCTCAGATACAAACGATGAAGGAATTTTCAAGGTAAATCTGAAGGCCTGAGTACCTCGACAAGGGCAGGGATTAAATTGTCACCAAACGTAAGTGTGTTAATTTGCATAACTTGTCAAATCTAGTTAGGTCAAATCACCCCAACGTCAATGGATGTCGAAATATTATGTTCCGAACAGCTGAGTCTGTTGTCTGCCCTTCATCCGTGAGGGTAGGGAGGGATATGGAGGAGGGGAGGTACAGATATTTGGGAAGGGGGGAGGAAATATTCGGGAGTGGTGAGGTGAGTGGGAGAGATTTGAGTTGGGGAACAGGGGGGGGGGGGTAAACATAATTGTACAGCTTAGATTTTCCGATTTTCTCACATGGAGCTGGTCTTTTGGAAAAAAATGTTTCTCCAGTGAAACAAAATCCCTGTAAGCTAAGATTAATTTTCGGGTGTACGGTTCCATCTCCTTTGTGTCTAAGGGATACTGGGGGTGGTAGGTGGGCTGGGGGGATGGGGTGGGGAGACTTGCGACGTTTACATTGCACAAAACTGTCTCGTCAGGGAGTTTTGGCTGTGGAATCCACACGGTTTTTCTCCGGGACTGGGATCCTTGTTCTAGAGTTCTAGACAAAGACAAATAATTAGATACTCTTGGGACGATTTCTGAGTGTAAGAATTGACTCATTGTTCAAAGTTTCGACTCCTCTGGAGGTTTACTCAGGGAACTAATACCGGAAAGTTCTGGAATGATTACAGAGTGTGGGAATAGGTTCTTTTGAAAAACGACCTAAGCAGAAACACGAAAAACTCTAGGCATGTTGTGAGAACTATTATTGTGCAGCTGGTGTTTCTTTTAAAAACAGCGCACATACTTTCACATACGTACACATAGACTATGTAGACACATTTACATCTACTCACTGACACATATACGCTTTTACACAATCAGAAACACAAACACACAAACAAACACACACACAAACAAACACACACACAGAGACTCATGCCCACCTACACACGCACGAAGGATTCACTTCTACTACCCACCCCCTCCCCCGACTCTTTTGTCTCATCTCTAGCGCCAAAATAATGAGCTAATCACAAAAGGCCTACACAGGAACACACACACACACACACACACACACACACACACGAACACACACACAAACACACAAACACACACAAAAACACACACAAACACACATACACTAACACACACATTGATTGATTGGTTGAGTAGGTGTTTTACGGCA